TGGTACAATACTAGGAATTATACCATCCTTCTTATATTTACTCTTCATTGCAAGAATTGAATTTTTAATTTGAGAATTACTAGGAAAATCATCTTGTAATGCATCTGCTTCAACTTCAACATCTTTGGGCTTTACTGTGCTATTAGTTTTGAAAATTACTGAAACTCATGATTTCATATATATGACTCCAATCTCCCTTTTTGAAAATAACAATACTATAGTGCCTCTTTTTTTATGTTTTGCTGTCAATGCAGTAACCAATTGATGAATTTCTAATACAGTTGGTATGTCAAATTGATTGAGATATCTTTGAACAAGTTCTTCCCTCATCCAACCTGGACCCACAGTTTAACTTAATTACTACATATCACATTTACAACCAAATTTAAAACATTTCAAGCATGTTTCATTGCTACAACGTTTTATTTTACATTTATATATTAACTTCTCCATGTTGGCTCTCATGGTTTGGTTCTCAAAAACCTCAACAATCATCACAAAATGTACAATTTTGATGTAGACTCCATGCATACAATGATACCGAAGGATGAAGCAACAAACACAGCTCCAAAAATGATATTTTTGTTACAATTTTACATTTTTACAACACGTAAACAGCACTCACTCTTTTTTAGTATATAAGCCTGGCAGATAAAGCCTGCGGGATGATTGATTGAAGAGATAGATAATTGAGTCAAGTGAACAGCAGGCACCATGCATAAAGTGTGTGAATCACTGTGATTTATAGTGTGTGTTATAAAGGTTGTTAAGTTTAAAGTGACTGTGGAAATTCTGTGTATTACAAAGTTGTATCAAGAAAGAATAAACTAGTTTTAATTAAGAAAGAACTTGTATTGCTGAAGTTCCTCAGAAAGAATTTATACCGGAAATTAACAAACGAGCAGATACGTAACAAATTGGTATCAGAAGTGGCATGGAAAAGAAGAAAAAAAGAAAAAAGAAGATGGAAACGAGAAGTGGCAAATCAAACTTCAGCTTAGCAGCTTTGATGGCAGCAATACAAGAACAGCAAAAGAAACAAGAAGAACGAGAAAAGAAACAAGAAGAGAGATTACAGCAGTGGTTAGAGGAGAAAGAAAATAAACAAGAAGAGAGATTACAGCAGTTGTTGGAGGAAAAAGAAAAGAAACAAGAAGACCAAGAAAAGAAACAAGAAGAGAGATTACACCAGTGGTTGGAGGAAAAGAAAAGAAACAAGAAGAATGAGAAAATACACAAGAAGAG